GAGGTTCTTTGGCTTGCAGCACACCCCAAGAGGGGTTGTCTTCATTCACAAGGGGTTTGAGAATCTCTGGAAACACAGAGATGTCGCAGTTGGTCCCTGTTTCTGAGGAGCTCACAGTCTGCAGGACCCAGGTAAAGTGGGGGGTGCTGTAGCAGCGGCAAGCACAGGTCTGAGGGGGCGGGAAGAGAGGGAGTTGAGTGTCATTGGATATCTCTTATGTGCCAGCACCGAGGGAGTGCAATTTTGAGATAGTTGGCCGACCAGCTGGCCCGATCTGCCCAGGACTGAGGTGGCCCAGGTTGCAGGACTCTACCTGGGTTGAAGTGGTCACCCTAAACCCTGCGTTCAGAGTCTGGCTTCGGCATGAGCCTCTGGCGGAGGCCACCAGTCACCTAACTAGCATTCGTTCTCCCATTCTTAGAAATTACTTTATTATAGTCTGAAGGTTTTCCCTGCCCTATTCTACTTCCTCCCTTCCCCCACCTTTTTCACAGTGTATCTCACTTACTGAGCAGATGTGTTGTACTGTGGACTTTACTAGGCTGGGGGAAGGAAAGAATATTCTTTCCCTCTTTCTCAGCAGAGGTAACAGCGGAGGGCAAGGGGAATTAAAATAGGTAGTGAAGGAGGGAGACAGTGAATACCTCTTGGGGCCCTGAGACCAACTGCAGTGATGGGGGCTGTGGTTCATCCTACCAACCCCCACTTCTAAATGTCCCCTCAGGAAGAGGGGCCCAGGGGGAGTTTGGAGGAGCTGCTCCTTGACTGTGTGTGGAGAAGAGGGTCTTCACAGTGCAAGGGGTGGACTGTGGCAGCCATGGAGGGACACTGCTCAGCTCCCCTTCCAGAACAAACTTGCCACTCTACTGTGCGTGGTGCAGTTAGCAGACACCTTTCAGGATCCACCCCAGCTTTTGTTTGTTTGTTTTTAGAGCAGCTTTAGGTTTACAGCAATGTTGAGCAGAAGGTACAGCGATTTCCCAGACACCCTCTACCCCCGACACGTACACGGCCTCCCCCACTATCAGCATCCCTCGTTTATTGCAATGGATGAGCCTGCATTGACACTTCATTATCATCCACAGTTCATCGTTTCCACTGGGGCACACTCTTGGTGTTGTACATTCAATGGGTTTGGGTAGATGCATCATGATGTATATCCACCATTATGGTATCTTAGAGAATAGTTTTACAGCTCTAAAACTCCCCTATGCTCCTATTCATCTTTCGCTCCCCTAACCCCTGGCAACCACTGATCTTTTTACTGTCTCCATAGTTTTGCCTTTTTCAGAACGTCATATAGTTGGGACCAGACAGGATGTAGGCTTTTCAGATTGTCTTCTTTCACTTAATAATGTGCACTTAAGTTTCCTCCATGTCTTTTCAAGGCTTGATTGCTTATTTCTTTCTAACATTGAATAATATTCCATTGTCTGGATGAACCACAGTTTATTTATCCATTCACCCACTGAAGGACATCTTGGTTGCTTCCAACTTTTGACAAGTATAAATACAGCTGCTATAAACATCCATCTGCAGGTTTCTGTGTGGACATCACCCCAGCTTTTGAGCTAAAGCCACCCTCTTCTGGGGCAGCTCCTAGCTAATGACTGAGCATGAAAAGGTGCTAGGGACTGGGCATTTCTGCCCAGGGCAAAACTTTCCTAATAGACAGTCTTGGCCCCAGAGCTCCCTGTTAGGTCGGCCAGGACTTTGTCAGACCTGCATTGAGGTCTGAAGCTCTCCCTGCTTAATTCTTCCTCCTCCCTTTTTATCTTTCATAGGCCTTGGCCCCCAATCAACCACTTGGTTGCCTAACCTCATCTCAGTGTCTGCTTCCTGGAGAACCCAAATGACAAACTCTACCTCTAAAATCAATCCACAGTCCATCCAGTTCTTTCCATCATCACAACCTCCAAGCCCCTATTCCTCTCACCTAGAGGGTTGATGGACCCTAGCTGGTCTCTGCTTCCTCTCCTATCTCTTTAAGACCCAGTCTCCACGCAACTACCAGAATGACCTTTTACAAACACATATCACATGATGTCACTTCCCTGCTTAAAGCCCTCCAGCTGGGTTTAGAATCAAGCCCATTCCCTTCCCCAAGCCTGTAGGCCCCACATGACCTCACCTGCCTTCCTCTCCAGCTTCCACTCTGCTCCAGCCCTATTGGCCTTCTTTCTGTTCCTGAAACATAGACCAACTTCGTTTCTGCTTCAGGGCCTTTGCACTTGCTGTTCCCTAGAACTTGGAAAACTTGCTGGGATTTCCCACTTGCCTAGAATGCCTAGAACACTCATTCTTTCCCCAAGTATCTGCATGGCTGGTTTCTCAGGTCATTCAGGTCTCAGCTCAAATGCAAACCTTTTCTAACAACCTTATAACTAAGGCGCATCTCCCAACTCTCCCCGCCCACCCCACCCCCACACACACACACAAACACACACCTTCCGTAATGTTCTATTATACTACTTTTTCAGTTTTCTTTGTGGTTCTCATTACTATTATAAATTGACTTGTTCATTTAACTATTCATTTGTTTACTGCCTGTCTCCCCATTAGAATATAAAGTGAGAGCTTGTCTTGCTTCCAGTTCTCCCCAGTGCCTTGTCTCAAAACATATATTTTGAATGAACGACTGTATTTGTTCATTTAGGGCAGAAGTCCCTTACCCTAAGAATGGAATGAAAGTGTAGAAAGAAAAAACCTAGCAGACTTAGAGGGAAATTATGAGAACTTAGAGGGAAATTATGGGACTATTGCTGCCATATGGAAGTCCACCTTAGAATCCTTTTCTGACCATCTCTTGAGTAATTTTGTGTTAGGATTTAAGGGATGCCTCTCCCATTGCCACAGAGAGATGGGTTTCAGGACCTCCCTGTCCTAGCCTTCCCCTCACCCCATGCCCCCAGCAGAATCCAATGTTGCCTATGAGGAAACTATTGTAGTTCTGCAAACATTCACCCAGTAGCTACCAAGGGCAGGGCCCCCTGCTGGATGCTGGGGATAAGATGAATCAAGGAAGAAAGGGGTGGCATTCTAGGCAGGGGACAGCATAAACGAAGGCAGAGAAAGGAGACACTCGGGTGTATTTGGGGAATTGTGCAGTTTGATATTGCCCCAGGCAGTGGAGGATAGGAGATGAGGCTGGAAGGGTGAGTAGTGTCCAAATTACTAACAATCTTACAAACCAAGAGAAGCTCACATAATAAGACCCAACATTTGGTGAGGTTTTCCACGTACTCCTATTATTCCCCAATTTATAGACTGGAAAACTGAGGCACAGAGAGGGTGTCAAGATCTGTGAAAGGCCCGAGACTTTACCCTCCTTGAAAAATGAGGTCACACAACTGGTAACAAGTAGAGGCAGGTTTTGAACTAGGCCTTCTGGCTCTAAAATCCATGCGCTTGACCATTAGGCAATACTGCCTCTTAAAGAGATTGGACTTTATTCCATAATGGATGGGGAGCCACCATGGGTTTATAAACAGGAGAGTGACCTGTTCATATCCCAGGTTTTAAAAAGTCATCTTAGCAGATAAACAGACCAGTCTAAACAAGGTTCAACTCCAACCTCTGGACCCACTTATCCCAGGGCAGCTCATATAAAGGTGGCACCATTTGGTGCCCAAGCCACAGCAGCTCTGCTGCTCTTGGTAGCAGTCCCCGCTCTTGGCCTCCCCCGTCCTTCCCTGGGTTTTCTAGGACAGTTTCTCCTCAGGATGTTATAGGTGTGCTTCTATCTTCACAGAACACACGTGAATGCACCAGGATTCCCGAAGCCCCATGCACCCTCAGGACCTCACAGCCCCCTACTGCCTTCCTTTGCCCTCAGAGAGCCTGGCCCACCTCTCCATCCAGAGATGCTTCCTCCAAGCTGTGCTGCCTGTCGGGGGTTCCAGGTCACTGCTCTAAGAACTAACTCACATCCGTGCACATATGGCTCAGGTGTTCATGGTGTAGAGCTTGCATTTGCTCCGCTCCTACTTTACAATTCAGATAATCCTGACTCCGAGATCAGGTAAGCAGTGCAGGCATCATCCTGGGGCTGGGGATGAGGTGTGTGGTATGTGCGGCATGTGCCACTGGGCAGGATCCCAATGGCCAAGCAAGGTCCCCCAGGGCTGTTGCCTCCTGAGAAATATTCTGGTCTCTCCCTACCACCAACACTGTGCCGCGCCCACATGGTAGCCATGGTGGTCCAGAACCCCAGTCTGGGCCTCCCTTCAAGTCCAGAATGTGGGCTTGGAAGGGAGACAGACCTGGGTGTGACTTTGGCCAGTGACTCCCATGAGCCATAGCCTCTCTCCTCCATTCCAGGCTGCAGCGTGAACACCACAGCCTTCTGAGCGCCCTTCCAGCCCTGGGAGCCCACTTTGGTCAGAAAATGCCTTGTGAAAAATTGGAACTGGAGCTGGATTGTGAAGGATGGTAGGCTGTTGTTGTGGTGGTGAATTTCAAAGTTAATTTGCAACAAAATATATATAGATATGTTTGACAGGAGAAAGTAAAAGTCTCCTCCACCACCCCCACACCACATCCCACTCCCATTCCTGCCTGTTCCTTCCAGGGCCTGGTCCACATGGCCACCAGTGTTTGCCATCCTAATGTAGACTGCAGCTGGGAGAGGGGTCTTCTCTCTCGGTGGTCCGTGCCCCCAGGGAGTCAGAGGAGGAACCTCTGCTACCCTTGGAGACCACAGGAAGATTTTTTTTTTCTTGAAGGGGGTGGGGGGTAGTGAACTCTTCTTCTTCAGGAGGTTGGGGATGGGAAGTGACAGGCTGGTGGCCATCGTATAAATAGAGTTTGGGTCAAAATCTCCAGTCCCCTGCCCCCGACACCGGCCTTTTTTCTTTCTCTCACCATGCCCACCCCAACTCCATCCTATAGTAGATGTGCTTGAGCCCAAATGCTGCTCCAACGCATACTACAATAGCTGTGTGACCTTGGATAGCAATCTGACCTGAGTGGGCCTCAGTTTCCTCATTTATATTGTGAGCATGTCCACGGCAAGGCTTAACCGGGACCCAGCTTGTAACTCGCTCAGCACAGAGCGTGACACGGGGAAAGCTCCCCGCAAGGTAGCTGTTGGCATTACCGGTTCGGGGAGGCGTCCAGAGCACTGGAGGGGCGGGGTGGGGGTTCGCCCAGGAGTCCCGCCGCGCTGTGACAGCGGCAGGATAAAGCTCTCGGCGCCGCCCTCCGCCTCTTGCCGCATCTCGGGCGGAGCCCCCACCTTCACGCCCGGCACAGAACGGGTGCGGGGCTGAGCCACGGCCGGCCCGGGGGAGCCGGAGGGGCGGGGCCGCCGTGTCCGCTCCCCCTCCCCGCCCGCCAGCCGCCTTCTCCTCCTCTAGCCGCCCGGGCTCAGAGCGGCGGCAGCAGCGGCCGCGGCAACAGCTCCGGCTCCGGCTCCGGCTCCTGCGGGTTCGGCCCGGTTCGGCACCGCGTTCCCGGGCCCCGCGCCCCGACCCCGCCGCTGCGCCTGCTGGGGGCCTCGGGAGCCCCCGCCGCCCGCCTCACGCTGAAGTTCCTGGCCGTGCTGCTGGCCGCGGGCATGCTGGCGTTCCTCGGTGCCGTCATATGCATCATCGCCAGCGTGCCCCTGGCGGCCAGCCCGGCGCGGGCGCTGCCCGGAGGAGCCGACAACGCCTCGGCCGCCTCGGGCGCCGCCACCGCGTCCCAGGGTCCGCAGCGCAGCCTGAGCGCGCTGCACGGCGCTGGGGGCTCGGCTCGGCCCCCTGCACTGCCCGGGGCGCCGGCGGCCAGCGCGCACCCGATGCCTCCCGTGCCCCTCTTCAGCCGCTTCCTGTGCACGCCGCTGGCGGCCGCCTGCCCGTCGGGGGTTGAGCAGGGCGACGCGGCACCCGGCGAGCGCGAGGAGCTGCTGCTGCTGCAGAGCACGGCGGAGCAGCTGCGCCAGACGGCGCTGCAGCAGGAGGCGCGCATCCGCGCGGACCAGGACACCATCCGCGAGCTCACAAGCAAGCTGGGCCGCTGCGAGAGCGGCCTGCCGCGCGGCCTCCAGGACGCCGGGCCTCGCCGCGACACCATGGCGGACGGGCCGTGGGACTCGCCCGCGCTAATCCTCGAGCTGGAGGACGCTGTGCGCGCCCTCCGGGACCGCATCGACCGCATCGAGGTGAGCGCTGCGCCCCGCGCTGCGCCGTCGGGGAGGGGGGGGGCATGCCGGGGTGGGAGGGGCCGCTCGAGGGCATGCTGGGGTCCGACCGCCGCCGCCGCGCTGAGGGACGGGGCAGCGGGCGGGATGGCGAGTCTCTCAGCCTCGGAGCTACCATCTGTGTAAAGGGAATGGTGGTTCCTTCCTCACAGGCGAGAAGGGAGGATTCGGGGAGGGCACGCGGGCCAGAGGCTGACACTGTGACTGAGGCACAGGAGGCCCACGAGAAAGTCTGATCCATTTTCCTCCAGGCATCTCTGTAAGCCTCAGTTTTAGCGTCTGTAAAGTGGGTATAACCGCGTCCACTTGTAGTGAGGATTGATTAAAACGTAGGTGTGTGAATATGCGTGGCACACAGTAGGACCTCATTAAATGTCCGTTTCATTTCCTTCTTCCAGACATTCCCAAAGCAGCACCATCACTCACTCCCTATGGTCAGGAGATAAGATGTGCTGTCCAGAGACTCGAGGTAGACCTCTCCTGCCGAAGAGTGGGGAACAGTGTCCCATAGGCCAAACGGGAGTCCCTCTCACCACCTCCCATTCCCGTATCCCCCGCCTGGGATCTGACCAGGACATGAGGGCAGGAGCCCAGATGGTGCTCGCCCAGCCAGGATACCTGGAAGCCTGCAGCTCTGGGGTGGGGCTATAATAGGTTTCCATCCGGGTTCCTCCTTTTCAGACACTCACCCTTTTCAGACATCCTAGTTCAGGCTTGGGGTTAGACAAGAGGTCTGATGGGGAGCCCGCTCTTGACAGCGGTGTAATCCTGGGCCAGTCATTTCTCTTTTGAAATCACCAGACCCCTACCTCCCTATGAGAACCTATTTGGGGGCCCCAGGAGAGAAAGCTGAACAGACTAGGCAGAACAGGCATCCAGGAGACACCGACCACCCCTCGCCATTTACAGTTTCCAGACTGCAGGGAAGGGCACTAGCAACAAAATTGGATCTGTGGGAGAAGGGGAGAGAAAGAGGCCAAAGCACCAGCTGCCCCTTTATACCTCCTCCCAAACCCAGTGCACCTGGCAAAGGCAGAGGGAGGAGAGAGGCTGGAAGGAAGGAAATGTAGGGACTGCCCCCTCCCCGTGGCGCTCTCAGTTAAATCTCTGGCCCAGCAGCACAGGCCATACCTGTGTGGAAAGCTAGCCATGCCTATGGTCCAGTGGCCCTCCAAAAGTCTGTGCTGGTGTCAGCACCCACCCCGCAGGGCGGCAGAGTGCAGCCAGGCAGCTATCACAGACAACCTCTCAACCTTACAGGTGAGAAACCTGGGTCTCAGAAACCTCCTAAGGTGAGCGACAGAGGCAAGAGGAAAACCCAAGAGTTTTGTCTGCCAGGCCAGTATCCCCCTTTTCCCACTCCAGCTTTGGGGCATTTCTAGGATAAGAGCCAAGAGCAGGAAATAATAATAATCAGGGAAATGCTGAAAGTCAGCAGTGAAGGGGCGTCTCCGTTTCCTCACCTGTAAAACTGGGACAATGATAGCACCTACCTCATTGGAGTGTTGGGAGGATCAAGTGAGTTAATCTTTGTGAAGGACCCAGAACAGTGTCTGGCAGAGGTATGCTCAATGAATCTGAGTGATTACTATTTTTATCATTAAGCTATAACATTACTAATGTTTTAAATAGCCAAAAGGTAAAAATAGGAACAAACCCTCCTTGTAGAAAATAGACTTTATTAATGTAAAAATAAAAGAAGATTTGGTTTTCAAAAGACTTCCTCTTACCTGCCCTAGCCCCTGCCCCCACACCCAGATGGCATCCGTGGTTCCTCCCATGTCTGGGGCTGGCAGTGTGGCTTGTCCTGGACCTGTTTCCCTAGCACCTGCGCATTTGGCAGGGTGGGCTCCCCTCCACTTAGCCTGCTGAGGTTGGGGGTATCCTGCTGGCTGGGATTTGGCACCAAGTCCTCCTCCCAGGTTCGGGGAGTCCTAGTTTCCCTACTCACACCCCTCCTGCTTTCTGAGTGGAATGGAGAGAGAAAGGCAGGGGCTGCCCGCCCAGCAGGTCTGCCTTCTGAGCCTGGCAGTGGCTAGAGCCAGTCTCTTTGGGGTCTTTGGGAGGAGCTGGGGTCTGGAGCCCAGCAGACGTGGGGTCAGACTACTGGTCTCAGCTGGAGCCCATCCACCCGTTAGCCACTGTCCAGTTTCTTTCGTCTTTTCTCATCTAATATCCTCAAAAGGATGCCCCCAGATTTTCAGGGTGTACTTTCTCACCACTCATCTCTCTCTCACCATGGCACACTGAAAATGCTCATTGTGGCATCATTGAACTTGATACATTGAACAGAACGTTTCAGTCCTTATCTTGCTGGACCCCTCTCTGACATCTGACCTGTTACCATTCCCTCCTACAGGTCTCCATGCCCTTGGCTTCTGGACACCTCTCACCTGCCCCTGCTCCCTCTCTGCTTCTCTGTCCCCTTTCAGGGTCCTCCTCCTGTAACGCTTGCACCCCTCCTGGCTCTGGGTGAGCTCGGCCATACCCTGAGGCTTCCAACACCCATTCCATGTGGTACCCCAAACCAACTTCATCTCCAGCCCAGGTTTTCTCCTGAGCTCCAGACCAATAGACCCAACTGCTTCCTGAGCACCTCCCTCTGGATGTCCCACCAGCCCAACCTGAACTCAGATACTCTGCCAACCTCCTTCTCAGGTGTGCTCTTCCAGTCGGCCTCATCTCTCTCTCTGGATGCTTGCCGCAGCCGCTCACTGATCCCCCTACCCCTAGGCATACCCTTCCATCCATCCTCCTCCAGGAAGCCCCAGGGATCATCCTTAAGCCCACCGTGGAGCTCCCCTGTGGTGCAAATTCCTCAGCCTCCTTCCAGGAAGCCATTTTGGATCTGGCCTGTCTCCCAGTTCCTTCTTGCCTCTGCCTAGATTCCCCCCCAGGGTATTCATCCTCATCATTTAAGAGTGTTCTAGGAGCACCTCCTCCCAGAGGGGACCCCCCCCCCGCCCCGCCTCATCACACTCTGTCCACTTCCTACCTACCCACCCATGCTCCCATAATCCTCAGCACATCCCTGCCTAACCCCACCTGGCACATCTCTGCATCACTCCCTCCCCACCCCACCAGGACAACTATCAAAGGGGAGGGAAGGAAGGTGACGCTGGCCCAGCCTCTGCCCCCAGGCCTCAAATGGGAACTACATTTGAGGGCTTAGGAGAAATTGTCTTCTTTTCTGTTTTTATTTTTGTTATTGTTGTTGCTGTTAATTGAAAAAGTCAAGATTTTGGAGGGGAAAAAAAATCACATTTAATGCCACCATTTTATTTGTTTTTGTGGCTCCCTTTTGGTCCTTTATCCAAATGTAAACATTGTTGGAGACTTGCCAGCATTGCTGTTAATTACCATTTAATGATGGCCATTATATCCCAGGGTTCATCGCGGGCTCTTCCATCCACCAGTCCGTTGACCATCTCTTGTTGCTGGAGATGTACGTGTAGGTTATTTCCAATTCTTCTTCTAGATGCTCATTGCAGGATCCATTTCCTGCAGATGGTTGAGTTTTTGCTTTTTAAGTCTGTTGAATTATTTCTTTAGGCTGAATTCCCAGGAGTGGTATTACTGGGTCAGAGGATATTGACTTCTATGGCTGTGGCCAAGAACCACTTTCCAGAAGGGATGGACCATTTATTTGGCAACTGGCCATGTGTGCATGTTCCAGTGTTCCATTTTTGCACTAATTTATGTGTAAAACGAAACTTCAAGATGGATCTAAGCAGTAATTCTTTGACATAACCCACATTATTCCCCTGGCCTGGCAAGCTGGTTGCCTCTCCCATCCTGGAGTGGGAGCCATGGTAAGGAACACCCTGATGATGGTCACAGGAGACCCTGGACTTCTTAACAGTTATAGCTCACACTTACTGAGCACTTACCATGTGTCAGGCACTGTGCATTGTCTCAATTAACCCTCATAAAATCTCTATGAGGGAGCTACTGTTCTATCCCCCTTTTACAGATGACTTTAAACCAAGGTTCAGAGAGGTTAAGAGACTGGCCCAAGGTCACATGGCAGTAGTGCCTGGATTCCACCCTGTCAGTGTCTGGCTCCAGAGCCCGTGTTCTTCATCATTAACTCTAGATCCATCTGGAGGGGTCACACCTCAGCTACCTTCAGGAAAGTGAGAAAGACAGGTGAGGGCAGTGCCTCTTGCTGAATAGTGCCCTGGACCATTTCTGCTTCAAAGCACCCAGAGCGAGACTGATAAGGGCCAGTCTTCTAAGGCTCGACGTGCTGGCTGGCAAGATGATCACATGGGAGCTTCGCTGATAATTAATAACAAGAAGTAACATTTATTAGACACTTACTACATACATACTAGCTAATTCAGTCTTCAGCCCTATGAGGTGGGCTGTATACGCTCCCTTCTTACAGATAAGGAAGTGGAGGCTCAGAGAGTCTGGAGGAACAAGAGCCAGGTGACCCCGCAACCCCGACTTTGGTTTCCCCTCTATAAAATGAGAGTGGGCCGATGCTCCCTAAACACCTTCCAGCTCCAAGTATTCTCTGCAATAGGAAGGTTGGGTGGCATAAAGTTGAATTTTTCTTGCTTGCAACTTTAGGCTCAGCACTTTCTGTCTTTGGGCCTCAGTTTTCTCATCTGTAAAATGGGTGAAAGAATGGGCTAGGTTTGGTCCAGGCCCTTTGGTCTCTAAATTCTGAGTTCTCGGGCAGATGGTTAGGAATTGGAGTGGGTTATATATGTGCAGCTCCAAAGCCTCGAATCCACCCACTCTCAGACCTCCAATTTCTCAGGGAAGTCTGCAGATAAACAGTGGCTTAGAGAACCTATTGGTGCCTTTTCTAAACGCCATTGGTTGCTTTTACTTTTCTCTTACATCGCTGCCTATTCTGGAAGCTTCTGCCCTGTCGGAACTGGTTCCCTTGACCCTGCCTCTTGGGCTGTGAAGGGGCCCAGCAGAGTGCAGCGAGGGAAGCTCTGCCC